TGTTGCTTAGCAAGTTTGAACGGCGGAGGGTCATTTCCTGGTGTTGCCGGAGAGTTCGGTGGTGCCCGATAGGGTGCTAAATAGGCAGGTCAGAGATTTCATCAGGAATGGCAAGAATGCTTCAGTGCTTGAGGTTCTCAACCAGATTGTGGCCAACTCTCGCCTCGCGCAAGGGCGTCGGGATTCGGATGTTGCCCGCACTCCCTCTCAGAGGTCCGTTAGGACTCTGGACACCAGGGATTCCCGAGAATCGAGGAGGCGCAGATATCGACCGCGGCGTGACGAAGATCGAGACAGAAGGAGGGACGATGTTCGAGATCGTCGTGGTGATGATTCACTCGATCGAGAGCGAGATCAAAGGCGAGATGATCGCAGGAGATCCGAGAGGGGACTAATTCGGGGTGGTGGCGGGAATTTAATGCGCAACTGCCTTTGTGGGTTTGCTCCACCGCTGACGGCGGTAGTGTCCAGCTGTTTGCGGACGCATGCGAGCAGTTAAATCCTATCAGTAAATGGCACGCTCCACCCGTCATATGACGGGCTCCTCGTGAGGGGGGTGTGATTAGCCATGACTTAAAGCATCACCAGGGATGTCGCGATAGTGACTGACCGGTGGTGTTTGGCTCAAGTTTGCGGGTCCGTCGCGCCTCGGATGAGCGTCGCCGGGTCCCCGCGTCCTTCGTGTCGGTGGAGAAAGAGACATCGGCCCGGGGCAGATTGGTGGGGTCCGCCCGTGCGGTTCATCGTCGACCAAGGTTGCGGGTACTTGTTTACTTGTTTTGGTATTTTCCTTTTGGTTGTTGTTCTCTGGTGTGTGAGAAACCCTGATCTTTGGGACCGGGGATTGGTTTGCTTTTGGGGAAGCGTGTAAAGCTTCCACAAGAAGACCGGCAAAAGCGTTTGCATCGCACCTTCTTGAGGCTCCTTCTGGTTGGCGTTGAAGACTAAAATCCAAGTGCGGCCAAGTGATGGAACAAGCCAATTTGTTAACAAAAAGAAAAGTTGATGCGTTTTGCTTTGTTGTTGCCGGGGATGCTGCTGTGCAAAAGTGAAGGACGTGGCACTTCTTGTGAAGCAAACTCGGTTGGGACCGTGGCCGGGCTTGCTCTAAGCAGTTGCTGGCAGCAAATGTGGTTTTGGGTCGGGCAAGCTGCAAGGCCTGCAAGTGGAACAAACTGATGGTGCTGCTTCTTGAAACAAAGGTTGGCGCGTTGGCGGGCTTGACCGCCGCATGGGTGCAGTTCGCAAACAACAGGAGGCAAGAGTTTTTGCATGGCTAGAAGGCCTTTGATTTAAGATCTCCAGCAAGTCGGGTTCTTTCGACGCGGCCGCGGAATGGAGGCGGAAGCCTCATGCAAGGTTGGCCGCGGCAAGCAGGCCCCCGTGCAGAAATGCGGGGTCCCACCAGCTGCAAGTTGTTCATTGCAAGACAATGAGACGAGGCAGGCTGAGATGGCGAGCACACGGGGGCTGCAGCAGCAAATGGCTGCAAAGGCAAGGGCACTTGTGATTTGCTTCTAGCCTGGCCCAAACTTCCTTGTTTCTTGGAAACTCCCACCCGCCCAACTTTGCCAAAAACAAGGCTTTGATGATCAGAGTTTGCAGACGCTCTTCTGATCGAGCCTGGACACGCTCAGCAGTTAAAAGCCGCACCCGCGGCAAATCACGGACCGCAGTCCGCTGATTTGGCACGCATGCCACGCCGTGCTTGTGCACTACACGAACACACCTGTCTGCCTTTTAATACGTTTCACGGGGTGAACATGCCCTGCTCTAGGTGCACCGCGTGCTAGAAGCAGTGCGGTTAAAAAGGAATGCGCGCTTTTCTCGCTTCGTGGGTTCTCTTTTGTAAGGTTGTTGAGTTCAAGCTAGGAGCAGTGCAAAACAGGTCTTAACCGAAGGTATTGGTGGAACTTGTCACAAGTGTGGCCCCATTTCTTGAAAGTCTCTGCGCCGCTGCGGAAGACAGAGTGTCGGAGACGGTCCACGGTTGTGACGGTTTGACGTGAGAAGGACGGTTCTTTTGCTTGTGGTGGGCACGGTGTTCGAGTTGGTCAAAGGTGCCAGGCTGATTTGAATTGGGCCCCGAAATCCGAATACATACGCACGGAAAGAGCAGACAGAACGATTGGAGTTTCGCAGCATGCAACGTCAACAACACTGTATTTATGAACTAGACATGTGTCTCAGGATCTGCAAATACATGTGTACTTACAGCTGTAATGAGTTGGCATTTCTCTGTTTTTCTGCGCTGTGGCCATGAGATGATTTTACTTAGCAGGCGAAAAACCTGTGTATGGCTTGATTAATTTGCTTGCAGCGCGAGAAAACAATGAACATCGGAATAAGGGGTTGCTGAACAAATCATTTTGGCTCAGTTTGTTTGCGCCAGAGCGTCATAGCTTGAGTCAGAACCAATATTTTGACAGTATTGTTTGCTGCTGCCCTTTACTGCTCGATCCCGCAGCTTCTCATTATTGAACGGTGCGGTCAACTGGCGGACGCAGTGTTGCAAGGCATGATGCTGTGTAAAGAAATGCATGTGCAGTGTGTGGTGTTTGTGTGTGTGTGTGTCTGCTGTTTCCAGCTGTGATTTTTTTGATATTTGCAGAGTTCAGGATGGCAGGAAATGCCATGGACGACCTGCTTGGGCCGGGCGGCCATGCGATGCTTGCGCTTTGCAATTCAACTGCCACGAGTGTATGGAATTTGAATTTGGCAGAGGCCGCCAAGCACTGGGCAGTACAGCCATCAGTCTCTTGGATGCATGGTTGCTCTCATGTCCATTCAGAGTTGCGGTCTGCCCTCTCTTCTTTTTTTTGCAACTTCTTTGCGATTTCGAATTTTGCAGGCAGTATGTGCCGGGCAGCGAGTATTATACTCCGCCGCCTGCACCAGACCCAGGCTTGGCGTTGCCTTGGTTTGAGTCAACGCAGTCCAGTGGAATCAGATTATAGCCCGTTCTTGCCCTTTTCCCTGCTAGGCAAAACAGTGGATCTGTCAGCGTCTTTCGCAGCCAACCATTCACCGCAGCAGCTACCTAAGCCGCTGCATTGGTCCAGGCTGAGAAGTCAGTTTGTGTTCTCAGGCCAGGTCCCAGCTTTCGCCCTTCCAGTGGTCCCAGCAGGCAGAAAAACATTCTTGCCCGACTTGAGAGCTCATTTTGTGCCCCGCCAGTTTTAGCGGTGGCAGCACCAGCACTGGCTATGGATCCCGAGGGCCGACCAGCTTTGAAGGAGGCCAGCTTTTTGCTTCCAGCCCTTGCGTGCTTTGCCAAGTGGGCAGGTGGAGGTCCGTCGACAGGGCCTTAATCAACTTGAGTCTCACCGCAAAGCAAAAGTGCAATCTTGTTCAACTGCATCTCAGGTTGTCCCTGGCTAGCTTGAATCCGCAAGCCATCATGCAGCAGCTGACATCGCGGCCTTTGACGGAAGTGGTCAGGCTACTCAGGATGTGACACAATTTGCAGCGGTTAGCACATCAAAACAAGTCCACTGTTTCATTGCACCAGTGTGAAGCTGTATTTGGCATGACTCGCATTCGGCTTTGGCAGGTGACTGAAAACGGTCGAGCATTGTTGCAAGTTCCGCGATACCTGGCGAGAACGTGCTCCAGCGTGGAGTTTACAAAGGGCAACTTTTTCCGAAAGCTCATTCTAATACTGCGCTATCCCAGAAGTGGATGGTTCCTTTGCACAGGTACACGGCAGCAGCTCGGCGTTACCTTCGACCGTGGAATGAGTGCTTCCCTCAGGTTTGCCTATATGGCTTCTTTCTCATGCCCACGACGTGACACATGCATGGAGTGTTTTAGGTTCGTGCGAGTCAACCCTTCCAGAATAGTGGAGGTGCGATTTTGGCTGTTGCATTGCAGCATGTGATATGGCCGGAGCTGTTTGCAATCGGCAGGGCGTCCGCCAAGCTTCACGCCGTGGTGAGATTCAGGTGTACTTGCAGCGCAATGTAAGGAGCCCAACATCAGGAAGGTAGTGATGCTGCTTGCTGTAACTTTAATCATGTATTGTTGGTTTGCATGAGCCGTGTTGGTTCTCGAATAAGGTGATTGCCAATGCGCGGCACTTCTGTCATAGACCTGGGAATGAGCTAACATGCGCGGTGCTTGTTCTTTGCGCTACAATATCCACGATTGAGGTCCAAACTACGCCTTCATCTTCCTAGCCATGCTTTTCATGGTGCCTCAGCTTGTGCAACTAGTGGAGATGAGGTCTGATTGATCTGAGGGTTGTTGCAGTTTCCGTACAGAGTTCTGAATGATTCAGGGCTCCCTACAAAGCTTTTTGAACAGCTTGAGAGAACATGTCTTTGGTGTGAAATCTAGCCATGGGAATGTTAATAGGCACATGTGCGAGCGTTCGGCACTGGCAACTGGCTGCCAGTTTGTTTGCACATCCCCTATGCTTTTGATGATGCCTGGCGCTGAGCATGGAAATGGACTTAGCGCATTAGGTTGCTGTCTTGCACCGTGTCATGTCACATCATGGCACGAACTGAGTTGCCTGTCAAGCATACATTTTGCATACATGGGCTGGCATACGCATCCATGTTGAAGAAGTTGCAGACCTGGAGGGACAAGGGCAAGACTTGCAATCATTTTGTCTCATGGCAAGGCTTGCTGGTGTCGGTGGTGGCTGGTCGCATGCTATGCGAAGCGATCAGTTGGCTTCTCAGACCAGCTCATGCAGCGAGTTGGAATAGTCCTACTGAGTATTTGACATCCTTCACGTTCTTGAGGTTCAGGAACCGCCCTTGGACGCTTCAGATAGGCTGTTTTGCATGTGGATAGTGCATGGGCTTTGCACATCTTGGTTTGTCTCACTGGATTTTGGGCTCCGAAGTGTCCGAGTCCTTTTGCATCGCTAGAAGCATTGTGTGTTTCAACTCCCAGGACTGCAAGGGTGGCCGAAGACTTTGTTGTAGTGGCTTCGAGTTTAAGCATGGCGACAACATTTTGAGTATGACAGGTAGTGCAATGGCAAGGCAATGCGATGCTGCTGCGCCTCACGACCCCAAGGTGATGGTACGGTGGATAGATTGGAAGGCAAGCAGGCACAGAAGCAACTGCTGCGACAGCAATGCGACGACTTGCTGCAACGCATTCAAGCTGCTCCTGGCAAGATCGGATCATTGCAGAAGCAGGCTGAGCGGACTTCAGAAACTCATGCGGTTGTGAGGGTGAAGCTGGAAGAAAAAAGGGAGGAACTTCGCAAGGCCAAGGAAAAGTGTGCAGAGCTTGTGACTGCATGCGCTCCGTCGAAAATCCAAAGTGCAAGCTCACACGCGAGGATTTCAAGCAGCCCAGCAGCACTGGTTGCTGTCACTGCATCGATTCTGCAGGAGTGTGAAAGGCTGCAGCAGATGGGTTGTGAGCCTGACTCACCATGGATTTTGGTGGAAGCCTGGAGCGAAGGCAATCGATCTTCAAATTTTCTTGGGGAGCAGTGGCTTTCTCTCGGTGATGATGCAGATCCCAAGTCGCTCTTTCTCCAAGCAAGGGTACCGTTCTCAAGGCCTGATTCTCGAAAGGCCTATACGGGTACCTGCCTGCCAGAGCTGCGAGTGCAACTGGACCACGCCCGTGAAAGAAATCATGCAATCTTTGGACTGCAGGCTTTTGGCTTGCATGCACATGCACTTTCGGATCTTCCTAGCAAGATGACGCTTCAATTTTGGCGCTGGGGTGGTGAAAGCTTGCGGGTGGGGCCTCAGAGCCAATCTGCTGAGCCAACATGCTGGTTGGAAGCCATCAGTATTGCGGGGCAACCGCTTGACATATCTGGGGAGCGCCGGTTGCAAGTGACTGCGGACCAAGGGCTGGTTGTTGGTAGGCATCATCCCTTGATTCAGCACTTGCTTGCGGATAAGAAGAAACTTCTGAATTGTATTTCACGTGAGCATTTGGCTTTTCGATTTGAGCAGAAGGATGCTACTCTGTGGGTCAACAATGTCAGCAGCAATCCAGTCGTGCTTTGTGGACAAGTTTTAGCAGCAGGCAAAGCTGGCAAAGTGCACGATGGTGACATTCTGCGTTTGGTGGCACCTGAAAGCCTTATTGGTGGAAAAGACGTAGCAGAAACAGTCAATAGTCAGGCAACAGACTCATCAGCAGTGGAGACTAGTGTGCAGCAGGAGTCCAACACGAATTGCAGCTTGATGAGTGCAGCAGGCTTTGTGATCACATTTCGAGTGTCTGTCACTTTCCAGGTGCTGCTTTGTGCAAGCGAGAAGTGTGTTGGAGGAGGTGGCGACCCGCTTTTCCAGCTGAAAGGTTCGTGGGGCGAAGAAGTCTATTGCGCCTCATGCTGCGCCGAACTCAAGCGAAAATCGCCCGACACATTTTTCAAGCTGATTCCTGCTCAAATTCTGCCACCAACCTGGGATTTGCTTGGTGCTACCAGCATGGCTGCAGTTGAGACTCATTTGGAACCTGGGCGAACAGATTTTGCGATGTGGGGAGCCAATTTTGCAGACGAGAACATCCAGTTGCCGATTCTGTGTCCCTTTTCACAGCGAATTTCCCAGGAGGCGCATGTTTGTAGTTTTCACATGAACAGGACAAGTCGTTCTTTTCCCTGGCATTTGCTTGTGTGGGATTGTGCGATTGAGTTCCCAGCTTGACAGGCCGATCAAAGAAGGGAAGCGGAGAGAGCTGCGCGAGCTGCACGAGCTGCAGACACGCAAGATATGAAAAGCGAGCTGGCACGCGTTCAGGGTGAAGCCGAGAAGAATCTTCGCGAGTTGATCGACCTCTCGGCGCAAGCGGGCTTAAACCCTGGCACACCATCCTTTCCGTCCGAGCGCGTAGTGAATTTGCCTGAAAGCAAAGAACTGGCGCAGTTGCGAATGCGTGTCAAGCATCTACAGCAACTTCATGCACAACAGACGGTGCGTCAAGAGAAGAATAAGCTCACCAACGAAAGCCAGCAGGCTTTGCAGGTGGGGCCAGCATGTGTTGCATTTGAATTGCTTGGGGGTAGACTCGTTTTCGGTGCAGAGAGTGCAAATTTCTCGCTTGTTGCAGGCTCAGGCTCCGGTACAAGACACCAGTTGCAGTTGCCGGGACACCAGTTTCCGGTGAGAGCCTCTTGCGGTATTGAACATGGCCCTCGATGCTCCTTGACCGTTTTGATTGGAGTTCCTTAGGAGAGTTCTGCACGACGCAGAACCTTTACATCCAGGCAGGTAGGAAAGCCGGTTAGAAGAGTCGCTGGAAAAAGTCCAAAGCTTGCAGATGGACTGGCAAATCACGAGCTGCTTCTTCGGCTTCTGTATCTACATGCTGGAGTGTCTCTATCTTGGATTGATCACACGCTCACATTCATTGAAAGAAAACGCCCTAGGCTTTTCAAAGGGGACGTGCTGGAGGTTCAAGCAGACATTCAGCGGCCCAAAGTTGCTTTGCCGCAATGAGTGGTCTGTTGTCTTCATTTGATCCTTCCGTAATACGTTTGAGCGCTTATCAAGAGGAGCACCTCTCGTTTCATTTGAAGTATGCTTTTCGGCCACGGGAGGGATGACAATCTTTCAGGTCTCCACCTCGGCAGTTCTCACCAGCAGGGAGGATGCCTCAGTGGAGATTCCTTGCCAAGTTGTCGCGTAGTGTCCAAAAATCCTTGGTGATTGCAGGTCTTACTGACGGTCTTGGCAGTACAGGGCCACTCCCTCACAAGGCAGGCCCCAATAGCCCTACGATCACACTATTGGTTTGGCTTCGAGGCTAGAGGAGAAGATCGACTTCGATGCCGACTTCTTAAACTTCATCTCATTGCAGGTTGTGACTCCTTCCACTCCAAGGCAGCAACGCTGCACTGTGAGTGCGACGGTCGTCATGTCCATGACACTCCATTGCTGGTCGACAAGACCCGGCCTCAGCTGGGCCAGGTAACTCCGCAGCCGGCACTCAAACCGTTTTTGCATCTTGTCTTGTCAGGACGGCCCCTCGTGTGCAACACACACTTGACTTCGAGCTGTTGGATATACCGGGACAACCACCTGCAGTGGCCATAGAGGCGATGGAATGCCAGAGAGGGTAGGGCTTCGGATGGGTTTGCAATGCAAGAGTTCCACCTGGGCACCGCAGGCAACGCTGGTGGATTCAACATCCAATGAGGCAGCATGCCCACTGCTCGTTGCAGTACTTCTTCTTCTGCATGACGATTTCTCTGAAAGCCACTCATCGGCTTGACGAAGCGAGTCGGGCAACTAGCCTCAATTGACCTTGTTGCCTTTACATTTAGAGGCACTCTTGAAGCTCTTCTGAGTTGACCGATAAGCAAGGCCATCTTAGGTCGTTTCAGATAGCTGTAGCTGTCAGGTTTCCTGCAGCCTGCAGCTTCGCTTGCCACTGCGGTTGCCCCAGAGATTTGTTCATTCGGCAGAAGGATGGGCATGACTTTCTCGCAAGGATTGTTACAAACTTCTTGACACCAATGCAGCCGAACTTCCGCTTCAAACAGGCAAGGCTTTGCTTGTTTGCCGATTGAGAAGGATGACTGAACATTTCAGGGGCAATGCTGGAATGCCTGACAAATATGTGCCATCAATGTCAACATCATGAAGAACAACTATTGTCTGGCCGCTACGACTGCTGGGTAAATATATTTGCCTCAACTTGTGGATGATGGCAAGCTCTGAATGGAGGCATCTCGCCAATTTTGCACAACTTCGAATTGGCTCCTCATTGAATCAGCTTCCTACTGAACAGCTCCATGGTTCTGGCGAGCTGTGTGGATTGAAGGATGCACGCTTGCCGGGGTTTCGCGGTGCCAGTCCAACCCCTTCCTGAGATTTGGCTGTGGGTCAAAACCAAAGGTAAAATTTTGGAGTAGGTGCACCGCGCGGTTTAGTCTATTTTAGTGGGTTCACTGGGGGTACGGGATTGTGACCCATGGCCATTTCTGATTTCTGCCAGGCGCTGCTTTCTCTTTTCATGATTCCCGCTTCTCGCTGCGCGCTCCTCCCTTCCAGATTGGTCAGCCCTGAATTGTTCATGTCTGCCACAAGCCAGAATGCCGACTGGAGCTGTCTGTTCCTGATCTTTTTGTCGCACGCCACCCAGTTTGCATTGGTACCACTAGACGATTTGCAAGCAGTCGGTCCGAACATTGTCATTTGTTTCTGTCCTTTCTTGTCATTTCAGGGATGGGTTTGCGGGTGGAGGCTTGTTGGGTGGAGGCTTTAGGGCTTTAAAAGGCTAGGGGTTCGAGTTTGGACTTGTGACTTGGCATGCTCTAGCAGCTAACCTGAAACAACAAACACACTATGCTTGTTCAGCGCGAACGCACAACAGGTCTCAAATCCAAGGAGCGCCCACATCTCAACCTGCTGCAAAGCTTGTGGCACCCACATTGACTTGCCAACCAGTCATACAAATTCGGAGAAGGACCAAACATGGAAAGCTACTAGGACCGTACATTTACCTTTGCTGCTCTCTGCCTCTGGCTGCCTTTCTAACTGACTTTCATATGATTCTTGCATCTTCTGGCGGTTTTCCAAACCTTGAGGCAGTCTACTTGGTCAGTTCAACTTCTTGTCCTGTAACACTCTCCAAAATCGAGCCAGCGTCCATGTCAATTGGAATTTGTCGGAGTTGCTCGAAACGCCTTGACGCAAAGGGGCTCAGGGCGCCGACCCTTCAAATCTGCCTGCATCTGCATTTCCTCTTTCCCTCATCTTCCTGCCTTTCGCCGGCTTTACCAAGAAAGGACCCGAGCTGCTTTGGGCAACTGCGGTGTGCTTGGGCCTTTCTGCGGTGTGCTTGAAAAGTGGATGAATCCTTGTTGCGTGGCCTGTTGTCTCAGCGGCCTGAACACAGCTTTGTCTTCGCTGTGGAACTGCTTTGAAACCCAAGTCGTGCAGCGCGGAGCAGCTCCATTTTTGTTTTGAGTCTTTGCAGGAGTGGGACGCGCCGGACCTACAGGCTCCGTGTCAATATGGAAGTGACTGGCATTTGGACGGAACTGGCGCGGAATAGGCTGCAGATCCCGTCGACTTTCCTCTTGCTGCCCGGGCCTTGGACGCGGTTTCCGGTTTTCTCGTTACTGTGCTTGCGGCGCAGGCCTTGGTGAAGCATCATCCTCGGTTGTATCAGGACGTGGTCAGTGAGTTATGTGATTGGACATTCACTTCACTTGGGACGAGCACACATTGAAGCCAAAGGTCAGATGCTGCCATAGACTTCCTGACGTTCGGCGGTGCTTTGTGCTGGCCCAATCGTTCTTGATTTAGAAATGCAGAGCAGTCAGTTGACAAGTCTTGAAACTGCATTCCCGAGGCAGATGTTCCGTCTTTCACAGGACATTGTTGGCTTTGCGGCAGAACTGTTGCATGCTCAGCTGCTTTGCCAGTGGCAGGTCTTGTTGGCCCTTTCAGTAATCTGCTCAGGCCTGTACATGGCTGCCACGAGTCGCAGGCAGGTTTGGGCCCCGGTGCCCATGAGCAAGGAGCCAGCGTCAGAGTGTCAGGCAGTGCTGGCGAGAGTTGCAGCGTTTGCAGCCGCTGCCTCAAAGTCGTTCGATGTGCTTGCGAGCTGAGCTCATAGGGCGATCTGCGGTTTTTGTTCTTTGGCACAATTTTTGTTCTGTGGCTTTGGCAGCTTTGGCTTTGCGGCTTCCGGCTTTTTGCCCGCGCCCAAATGCTCCCGAAACTCCCTCCTGCGTGCTTCCTGTGTCCCACTACCCAAGATCTCCCCGAATGCTCTCCCCGAATGCTCTCCCCGAATGCTCTCCCAATGCTCTCCCAATGCTCTCCCAATGCTTTCCCAATGCTCTACCAATGCTCTAGCAATGCTCTCGCAATGCTCTCCCATTGCTCTCCCATTGCTGCTCTTCCAATGCTCTCCCAATGCTCCCCGCCTCTAGAATAACTTTCCCTACATGTTGGGTCAACAACCTAGGTTCGCCGAGCGAACGAGAAGGGTTGCATTTTTCCCGAAACATGCCCAACAAGTTGTTGGCCCCAAGCTGGGGTGGAGAGAGTGCGGTGGGTGGGTGCTTGTGTGGTCATTTGAAGGGACAAGCCCTTTGTTTGTTGCGCTTGGTAGAATTACACCTTGTTTGGGAGTTGAAGAAGCAACCGCCTTAAAATAATCATTTCAGTCCGCTGCCAGATGGCCACGGTATGGGTGGCCAAAAAATCGCTTTCTCAGGAAGTATGCAGGTGTAGCCACGTTGTTGTTGCTTGTGGTGCTCTTGCGACTGGTGAAACATCGAAAACCTTGAGTGCAACATTTGCACTTTGGTCGCCCCCACCCTGTTTGGGAACTTCAATCCATGTGGCAGTGGACACAAAGTGATTGTGCCAAGCCAAGCACCTCTAGCCTCTGCTTTGCTTCTTCAAAGCCCCAAAACGGAGTTGTCTCCTCCCGAGCGCAACAGAGAAAGGGCCGCCTTGCGCCTCCGAATGACAGGACAAGGCCCTTCGTAAACGCCCGGCAAACCGGGGGCGTACAGCCAACATTTTGCTTGCAAGCACACAGAGCTCTCAGCATTTGGGAAGTGGGGCAAAGAGCAGCAGGCAAAACAAGTTTTAGTCAGCATTCATGACCATCATTTCAGAGTAGCAATACATGAACGCATCCAGTCAACTATTCATGAAATCAGATAACTTGTAAACACATCAACTCATACCATACCATGACATTCATATTTGGCATATTCAAAGGTAATTTAGTCGGACCCTCCAATGCCAGAACATTTCTGCTCGCCTGGCCACCGGCATGAACAGACCACGAAAACCCCCAAAGAAAACGCAAGCGCCGCCGATGCGCTCTTGAAAATGTCCTGAGGACGGCAAGCTTGTTCTGCAAGCACGAAGTCAGGCATCGGAGTTCTCTCTGGGTTTCTCCAGGCGTGTTCCAGCCTCAGGAGCGTCGCCTGGCCGACGCATTGGCTGCTGCAATGTCGTTTGGGTCTCGGACACACGTGCATTCTCCAGTGAGCTCACGCAATGCGCTGAAAGAGCAGAGGTCTCTGCTTTTATACCCATCGCGGGCTGATTTGTGATGCCAAGGGGTTTCACCTTTCATTTTCACAGAGAGAGATTGTTTGATCGCGCTCACGCGGTTTCGCTTGGCACAAAATGGTGGCAGCTGAGCGAGTTATTTGTAGTTTTTGAGACAGAGTTGCCAGACCTGCCTTCATCTTGCAGCGGTGCAGGTGGTGTTCAAGTGCCCTTGGGAGCCAACATGAAGATGGCATGGAACCTAACCCTTGACACTTGTCATATGAGCTTGCAGTCATGCGGCCTGAGATGATCATGGCCTTGCCGACGCTGCTTTTCCTGCACATGTTCATGGGTCCGATGCTGAGAGACGGTGTATAACACCTGCTTGCCAGTTGGTTTGCTGATCACTCTTGGCTTGGCGGAACTGGGTTTGTGTGGCATCCGTGCAGGGAATGCAGACTCTGATCCCAAAAAGCTGCAACAACCATGCTTCGAATGCCCAACCAAGTGACCCCAGCGCAAATGAGGATGTAGCGCAGTATTACGATTTTCCCGAGTTTTGCAGTGCCTCAGTTCGTTGTTGTCTTCACCCCTTCTAGGACCACGACAGAAATGCCACTGAGGCAACACTATCGCATTTTCAAGCGAAACTGGTTCCGAGAAAGCCTTGGGCTGTGTTGCTTGTGGAATTCCAGAAGATCTCGTCGGAGGAAACGCAGACGTGGTTCAGAAATTACGTTGTGTGATTTGTGCTTGAGGCCCCGTGCTTTGGTCTGCGGCATTGTGCAGCGGGGGAGTGAGCTTGGCCCACGCAGCCCTGCGAGACCGCCTCAGCCTTACACTTTTTGAATGTGTGCCGCCTGCGATTGATGCACTTGACATTGTGAACGCGCACATTGTGGCACGCATCGTGCAACATGTAGGGATCGTGCCATCATGGAAAGGCGAAGACGTGGACAAGTGTGATGATGGCGATGACAGGGACGGGGATTCGGGTTGGCCCGAGCCTGTTCATTTGAATGGCCGGTCTCTGCCAGCGCGATTGATATTGCTGGGCTTCTAAGGCCGAAGGGACGCATTAGAGAGCTCCCATGAGATGCATTCAGGCGCTGCTTGATCGGCTTTGCATGAGCATGCCATTTGCAATATTTGTGGATGGTCAGGTGTGGGCAGCTAGGTTTTGCAGCCTTTTTTCACTGAAAGTTGCTGGATTGGAGCAAAAGAGACGGCCATGGTGCCGTGTTTGGGCCGTGCAGGTGGCCACTAGTTTTTTTCCTGAGGCAATTCGTGCCCGTTGTAGGCCTGCGCATTCGTGCAGCCCGCAAAGGTCGGTCAGCCTGGGAGTGGAGCGGCATTTTGAAATGCCCTCATGTGTCTCGATGCGTGTTGCCAGGCAAGCCTGAGCGATTCAGTGATCAGTCCAATTCTAAGTAAAGCAATCTGACCACTCTTCTCATTTTGTCTGGTCTTTGTCGGGTAACGCCTGTGGACAGGTAAAGAGGCACGCCAGCAAACTGTCGATGGTGTTGTGGAAAAGGGGTGCTCACTGGCTGTCAACGGGCAGTGCTTGTCAGATCTGCGTTTCAAAGACTTGGTCATCAGTTTGATGCAAGCACATTCTTTCTGCTTGAGGAACGAAGAGAACCAATTGTTTTGACACATACTTTGATGCTTCTGAGAAGAGGACAGTGACAAAAGGAAGCTTTTCTGAACAAGCTTGTACCTCAAACATGTCGGACAGCGGAGAATCTGGTTGTCACGAGCAGTAAACACGTCTGTCAGTCATAGAGAACGCATTCACACGTTTTGCGTAGCATCAAAAGGAGTCATGAACCATGAATCTCGACAATTAGATTGCTGAGTGACGGAAGTTGTGCGCCATGGAGACTGCAAACTCCAATCCGCGAAGGAGATGGAGGCAAACGCCATTTGACTTGCCTGTGGGGCTTTGCAACTCAGGCAACTCAGCTTGATGTTGTGAGCCTAGCCAGGAAGCTGCTTGTCTCCTTCATTGCCTCATGGTGGCATAGCGGAGGGTAGGGCATATGGTACAAAATACAATTTGGCATTCATTTATATGTTATGTTTAGTAATCACAGTGTTGCAATCTCATACTCCACAATTCCAGTTGCCATTCTTTTCCTTTATTAACGCCGCGGCCATCTCTTTCTTTCTTTTCCTTTTCCTCATCTGTTGGGTCCATGAGAAATCACTTCCCTTACGACAAGACCCAGAACCAAGAGACGGACAGGACCTTTCTGGTAGGCCTCCATGACCTGGACCCAGACTGTAGGCAAAGCAAGGGGGATAAAGTGGTAGCCTGGATTGTCCTGGCAAACGCTCGTTCTCATTTTGGACATTATCGGGAAAGTGTGTGAGCGCTGGGTTTTGAGGTTGTCATTCTAACCAACACCTGCGGCCTTGTAGGCCTCAGCGGCCGTCTCGGAGATGCATCAGGGTGCCTTGTATCCGCAAGGCGCGGTGATCCGAATCATCAGCGCCGCCGCACCGTGCATGATTGGAGTGCGATCATTGCACAGACCAAACATGTATTTTTGAGTGCAAAGTTGAACTTGTCAATCCGAAAAACAAATGCACTTTCCAGCGCTTTTTGCACACCGTGCCACTCCGAGACTTGATGTTGATGATCTCAAACCTGGCATTGGCCCGCTCGGGCATCCCCAACATCACACAAGCGCTTGTCACAGCCACTTGTGCAGTAGTGTAAACCTTGCCGCTCATGCAGCATCGATCTGGTTTTGAATACTCATGGCCACATATCAAAGATCATGATTCACACAAACTGGCAGGTGGCACGATGTGCTTCGCGGGCTCGATGTGGGGAAGATGGTCGCTTTGGCGCAGGTTGGGCTTGTGGATTGAGAGAACAACGTTTCTGAACAATACCGGAACACAACCGCATCGGGTTTCCACAGGAATAACATAAAGGACCTGGGCCCTATGCGTGATTGCGAACCATCATTGCATCCCTTGCTTGTCTCGATTCTCTTTTTTCTGCCATCTCTCCTCATCAGTGATAAATATAATTCCAACCGCTGCGCGCTGCCCGCCTTGGCCAGGCTCAAAAGAACTAATAAAGGATAAAACCAACACTTGCTTGAGCAAATGATACCGAGGCTGGGCTGAGCAGTCTCCGGCTTTAGGGGCGGGGGGGGTGGTCGGCAGGGTTCGCTTGGCTCCGCTGAAATTCTGAAATTGGCTCGCTAAAATTCGCTGGGCTGAATTGCAGGCTGGCTGCCATGGGCCGGGCTGAATTGTGGGACTGAGTCTGGGGGTGGGGCTGGGGGCAGGTTTCAGTCACTTGACCGCTTTTTGGCCCTTGAGTCTGAGGTGAATTTTCTGGCCCGCTAACCCTTGTGCTTGATGCTCAGGACATCTGGCCCTCTGTCGGCCACACCCAATCATGCTCCGGAAGCAGAAGTATCTCTGGATGAGGAACGGGACGAGGAGCCATTTTGCTGGATTTTTGCAGAGAAGGTTCACATTTTTCATCCACCATGGTAGTTCCTTCGAATGGCGTATCTCTTGTTTAGGATTCTGACTTTGATGACGAAGATTCCGATATGGCCATTCCAAAGCTGACCAGGCAGCTTGTTCGAATTGTGCTTGTATGCAGTTGTGGATAGCCTTCTTCCTTGTAGCACACTGTGCAGCTATTGTCCTGAGAAGGTCTGCATTCAAACAGCGGCCCGACGCGTCTGATCGATTGGATATTGATACCGCTACTCGTCACAATACATTTGTCTTTTTGTTGCCGGCTGACTGGCCTTGTCAAAGAGTTGGGTCAGCCCGTGATGCACTAAGGTTACCTCCTTCGTGCAGGGAGAGTTGGGTGAAGCCGGGTTCAAGGCTGGCTTGTGTATCCTGTTTGTACTTTACCTTCTCAACAGCACCCAGGTTGCTCCCTACGAGCAGCAAGACTTCGAGAAGAGTCCTTTGCAGGAAGCCGCAGCAGCTTTTCGGCAGTTCCTCGGCCAGATGACTTGCCCATTCTGCCACACGTCACAAAGCAGCCACTCAGGTGGGCGCTTCGGCGTGAAGTGACCGAAGACAAGCAGGACTTCGACATGAACAGGTTGCTCGCTCGAGCCACATGCGGACACGCGATGCCAGGAATTGATTGCGCGAACTGAACGCCTGCTGTCGACGGAAATGCCAGAGCCGCACACCTTTGCATCGCTGATGTTGCACACTTAGAATCCTTGACTCTTTGATTGGGGCTCCTGCTGTGAAGCTGTTGTTGTGCCGTTCAACACGCTATGTTTGCATTCTCAGGTGGTGCTGCAGCAAGCTCAGCATCAACGACATGTCGCCGCTGCTGGCGCCATTGCGCGACAGGATGCCAGAGGCAACTCGTTCGTTTCTGAGTTCTTTTGCTAAAATTTGATTTTTGTTACAATGCTGATGGACGGTCCAAACACTTTCATGTCGGCAAAAGCGTAGCTCTGCAAGTCGGGGGACCTGGGACGCCTGTAGGTGGCCAGGGACATGACCGCGCAGAACCTGACAAGCTGCTGGTGCACAGCGGCAAAGATTCAGGAGTTTGCAGAGGAGGCTCTTGGCTCCATTCGATTTTCTTTCAGAGTTGGAAACAGTTGGAGAGGTGGACGATATGATTCCCCACCTCTTGGGTGCTGCTTTGAAGAAGGCCCACCAGAATCACATATGGCTTTCACGTCATCCGTTGCAAGGCAAAGGACATGGAGCCCAGGCGTTTTGGTTGCACCTGGATGCTGGAAAGTGGTCCTCGGTATTCTTTGCATGCTGAGGCATGTTGCCGCCTTTGTTTGGGCGTCCGGCAAGCTGCTCCCTGAGTGAGAGCCGGTTTGCCTTTGGTTGCTTCCAAATCATGTGCTCCCCACGATCCTGACAAGGAAACGGGAGTAGTTGGTAGCCCAAGTTGTGCAAGTTAATCAGATTTTAACATGAGTTCTACACTGTGATATTTGGATGTTATGGAAGCGTCAACCACAATTGGAATCATCCTGCATTTGTGTCAGCAGGAGTATTGTGCTGGTGACATGAATCCAGCCATGCTAGGCTGGATCTTCGACCGGCAGAGGCCAGGTGGATGTTGGAATGGCGGATGGATAGAAACCTCGCGGTGCCTCGCGCAGTGGCCATCCTTGAGGTGTCTCAGATATTGGATACCCTTCCTGGACTGCTTAGAGAAGATCTCGACACTATGCAGCTGAAGGCACGAAGAGAGAGAGGGAGAGAGAGAGAGAGAGGGAGAGAGAGCGAGAGAAAGAAAGAAAGAAAGAAAGAAAGAAAGAAAGAAAGAGAGAGAGAGAGAGGAAGCTGTAGAACTGCTGGATGGCCAGGACATTGCGAACTTTGTCTTTGGTCTGTCGCGTTTAGAATGCAGGCTGGCTGCCGGTGCGGTTGCAGACTTGGGAATGGACTGGGACAGGGATACTGGCCTGATGGAGACCATTGCCAAGGTCACTGCAGGGAAGGCAGAGTCGTGCAATAAGAAGGCAGCGTGGACTGACTTGCCAATGAGTCTTGTTTGCAGACTGAGATTGGGATGGCGCAACCGATAGCCTTCCATTCATAGACACATCTATTGCTGGGATCAGCCGTGAACCTAATTCTTCAATCAAACCACACATTTTGACGAGCAACACACTCTATCATTGTTCTAAGATGCAGCCTGGACCATCAAGCGGGAAGTGACCTTCAGGTCTCTCTCTCTATATATATATACAAGTTTTATTGCAGTTCTGTCTATGTGCTTTTTTTTTTTTTTAAATCATTTTCCGAGAGCGGGGTGCTGCCAGAGATGAATGCATCAGGCCATCTAGTCTTATTGGTCCGCCCACCCTGCAAAGGATTGTCATGTCCTTGACTCGACTTGGCTACAAGGACAGCACACAAGTTGGCCGCATGCCCAGAGTGCTACGGCATGGCCTCAGTGAGCAAGCAAGCAGGATGCTCACATGAACAAGCTGCTGGATGCGGTTGCTGCTAGATTGCAGTGCCGGACTCAGAGAACGCATCAAAGTTGCTCAACAAAAAAGAGGCTTTGGGCTTGCTTTGCCATGGTATGAGTTATTCTGTGCTGCGATTATTGTAGGAGGGGTCCTCGGCTGCTGAAGAAGATGCCTGACTGGGGATTGGCAGCTCTACTATGGTCTTGGCCTTCAGACGGAGTTCCAGGGGCGGCTCGGCATTGCGCAGCCTGGGGAGATTCACAGATGCTGGTAAGCCCAGCGAAACGGTAAAGGCGAATATCCAAGGTGCGCGACATGCAGGGTCTGCTTTACCCAGAGGCCGGATGTTGATCAGATTTGAGCAGCCTAAATTGAGAGGCCACTTGCATTTTGTGCAGCGCATGCTATGGCCATCGTGATCACATTCCGTTTGGAGACCCAGGTTTCGTAATATCATTGCACTGGCAGGTGGACAAGCGAATTGCAAAGAACCGATTCGACAGTCGGATGCTCGAGAGGACAAATTTGTCCAAGCATGTTTCTTGTTGATTTCCGCAACGGTACGTTGAATCTTGAAGCTGCCGTGTCTTCAGGAGTTGGATGGGCCCAAGCGAATGGCAGCGGCCAGTGAAACACGCGAGGAATTTTGTGCGCTGAGCTCCCAAAGAGGGGCGACAAGTGGAGTTGATTGCGATGAAAGCCGAACAACATGCAGATAATTTCTAGTTGTAGATAGGGGGTTTCTTGACACTGAAGAAATGAACCAGTCCCTTTGGGACTGCAGTTAATGACTGCCTTTGGGCGCAAAAGGGCGGGCCAGAGGTAGGTTCACTTGTCCTGGGTCCATGCAGTGTCCTTCCGGCTGCACTCGCACATCTTCTTGAGGCTGCATTGGCTCAAAAGGGGTGGGGCATGAGATTTCTTGCATCCAGCGCTCCAGTCCATCTCTCGTGAGACAAATGCTTGTGTGTGTTGCACTCGCATGCACGTGGATTGGCACACATACTTTCTTGAACCATAAGGCGATATGACACAGGAGGACTTGCAAGACGTGTCAGGACCTAATTGGAAGCATCTCACTCCGTGCAACAGTGTGACCGTCAGGTACTCTTATCCCATTCAAGATGCAACAAAAGCAGAAGTTCAAGTAAAGCCTGGAAGCTCAGCACGCTTGCAGCGCCGTTTCAGCTGCTGTGAATGTCTCACAGGACTGGTTTGGCTTCCATGTACTGTACTCTGCAAGTGTGCAAGTTCCCCAAGGTACAGCCCGAACGGGGCTTCGGCCTCATTTTGCCGCTTGATTTCAAGTCCATGTCGCGTGCAAAGCTTTCTCAGGACAACAGGGAGAACCAGTTGGCCCTAAATGTTGGTGACGTCGTTTGGGTGTGACTCTCATCGATTTGCTTGCTAGCCTGATGCTGCTTGCCAGTTGCCTAAAGGGCTGTATGCTGCAAACCTTGGATGTCCAACGGTTTAAAACACGTTTCTCAGGTGCTGGAGGAAACAAACGGCTGGTGCGGCGGGCACAAGGAGAGATCCAGATCTTTCATAGTCCAGACTGGGTTTTGTATGTACCAGGAGGGTGAGGAGAACACTGGCTGGTTTCCGGCATCCATTATCAACAAGATCCCACGAGGACAGGGGTAGGGATATGCATGTCCCGAGACCAGTTGCAAAGTCTGCTCCTCTTGCCACGCTTGTCAAGAGGAGCGTAGCTGTCCCATGACTAGGGAATTCACAAGCCTATCATGTCATACTTGCTGGGTCGTGTGTACACATTTCGAGGAGACTGTGATGACGAGGAGGCTGAGAGGTCTGCAGCCGAGTGCGAAACGGCATACATGATCATGCATGCTTCATAATGTGGAAGACGCGAGCAAGTACACAGGGAGCATTCTGCATACGTCATGAAGCTGCAAGGAGAAGCTCGCAAGCCTGGCGAGTCCTTGGCGATTTTTGTAGTGAGATTGCTGCATGCGCTTATCCTGGAAGTTGACTTGAGAACGTCGCCTTCAGGGCGCTCTACACCAGCGACCATCGGGCAGTTGCATCTCCGCAGGCTTGGAAAATGTGAACGCCGCCTTTCAAACAATTGTAAATAGGTTTTCAACAAGCACCAAACGGAGAGAGGCTCTGCAACTTCGAATGTGTGGCTGTAAAGTTTGAAGCCCTGCAGGCCAAACATCGCAAAGTTTCGGCTGTGGGCTCAGTTGGGAATTGTTTTGAGTGCATAGTAAGTGGTGGCATGTTGCCATTTGGGAGCATCTTGAAAGCGCAGGCCCAAATGGAGTTGGCTGAGACAAAGCAACGTTTTGAAGCTGTCTACCCGGCCTTGTTTGACACAGTCGTTTTGCTGCATTCTGTTTGTCTCATTCCAGAGTAGCAGCTCGAGCAAGATGGATTTACTTTATGCCCATGTTGCATATTATGATCCCTGCAAGCTCCACGCATGCCTGGCCATTGCTCTCTGGATTTGGTGTACGACCTGCCTTCCTGAGCCACAGATGGTCATCCAAGCCAATACAAAGCCAGTGTGCCGGAAGGAGGACTTTGCAGCATTTAGCCTTGTATTGGTGCGCTGCAAGTTGCAAGCGAGCAAAGGCCGCTCAGCAGTCCAGGTCGCACATGCTGAGTGCACAACCTGAGCAAGTCAGAGCTTCCAGGGCGCCACTTTTCCCGTTCGCAAAATACTTGGAGGATGGACGCAGATCAGTGAAGCAGGCTCAGGCAGCTGCCGGAGGTGCACACATCTACTTTGTCAGAAGCTTTGGCCGTGCAGCCTCATTTCGAAGGATGACCTGTGGATTGCTGGAGCAATTGCTGCCAAATCTGAGTTCCTGCCGTTTGGCCCTAGCTGCTGATGATCCAGATCTGGATGTGTACAAAGCAAATGCTGGACCGTGGAGCAGCCACATCATCCTGGGAGTGAAGGGTGCAGAGCGTCAGATAGCCTTCATTGATCAGATTTGCCGCAAAGGCACCGCGCTCAGATGGCCAAATCCGCACGCAACGTGAACCTTGAGACAGGTTTCCAAGAAAAGCCCTGTCCGGCCAAGCATGCAAGCCACCCGAGCCAAGACAAGCCATGCCAAGTCCAGACCAGCATGTAGGCAATTCAGCAATCAAGCAATCAAGTAATCAAGCAATCAAGCAAGCAAGCAAGCGTACACACTCCGGTCAGATATTGTCAGATCGCTAGAAACGCCTGGGCAAATTGAGGACCTACATGTTGTCACACCATAGCTTCTTTCTATTCAACTCTATTCTGATAGCATTAGACGCATTTGCATGTCTTCTGATTTCCGCGCGTAGCTTGTTCTACTGGATTCCGCTCATGGTCAGATCAAGGTGGGTGAGACGGGAGAAGGATGGGCCTTGTAGGCAAACGAGTGCCAAACCGGCGCTGGTGAAGAACGCTCTGAAAGCATCGCAGACTCAGGTAGCCAGGTCATGGTTCTTGACGACAACATCCTGAAATTCATGGACCGCGGGGAAGCCATACACGCCAATCTGGATGAAATGGTTGCACGAGGATTCAAGGAAATGTGGAAGGCTGGTGCGAAAACGTGGTCAGGCAGCGACTCCCCAAACCCTGCGCACTGGAGCGAAGAGGTGGATGTTGGGAATGGATTGGTGTGGACTCCTCAGTTGCCAGTATTCAGACACTTCGTTCTCCAACATATATATATATATATATGGTCACTACATATATAGTACGTATATATATATATATATGGTTCCCCCCCTGGTTCCTATGTTTCTCAGTATTTTAACCACCTTTTGCAGGACTTGTTGTATTTGTTTGGCCAACTATGGGCACCAAGGCAGGAATTTGTGCCACAATTCTGCATACTGACATTTGGATTCCTTCATACCCGGTATTCAGGAATGAGGATCCAAGATCCAAGATTGCTGGAAGACTTCAATGTGAATATTATGTGTTGCTGTTGCCAAAGAAGGTCAATATTCAATATTTCAAAACCATTCTTTTTTAATATATATATATATATATATTTCTGGAATTCTTGGAGACTTGAATCTTGAATCCCAGAACTGTTTTCTTTTTTTTTGAAAAAGAAACTCTGGGATTGAATATTCAATGTCCAAGATTTCAATACAATCTTTTTCTGGAATTATTGAATCTTGAAACTTGAATCCCATATATATTGAAATAGGCAAATTAGAACCAATTTCGCAACTGCAACAGAAAACATGTTGTGATCCATACAGTACCAAAAAGCCTCAATACCGGAATTAAGGCATTTGGATCCAAGATCCAAGATTTCCTTCAAGAGTCCCTTGGATCCAGATTCCTTAATAACGGGTATTGAGAGAAATACATGACAGTTCTCAGAAACCTTACTACCGGGATTGATGACTAGGGGGCTTCATGGATCCAAGATTCCCCTCAAAAGTCCCCCAACAAAATGAAGCCCTAATACCAGTATTAGGGTTTCAGGGGGGGCATTCATGGATCCAATATTATTTGAATTGCGGTACTTAGACTTAAGGGGGAGACGTTCAAATAGAAGATCTCCAGAGTCCTGCAGACGTTCTGCATGTTGGATCGAAATACTGCATTTAGAAGTTCAGCAGTCATAATTTCAGGGGGCAAGTTGACAAACATGCTTCATATCCATTTGCATCGACAAGCTTCAATGTTGAAGATCCTTCGTTTTCTGGATACTGCTTGCCTGGGCAACTGCGATTCTTGAATCTTGGAAAGATGCTTTTCCTTTTTGTTCCAGCGACTTTCAAATTTCCTTTGTTGGTCCCGTTTCTGTAATTTTCCAGGGCATGTCTACATTTTGCTTGGAACGCTTGTTTTCTCTTATTAACTTATTGTTATAATGGAATTGCGTTCTGTCCAAAACCAGAGTAAAATGGCTTCTCACACTATATTATTGTCTTAAACTGACTCTATGGCCTTTTCTGGAGTCAAGACGTTGGAGAAAGCTTTCCTGGGCAATTGCGAATCTTGAATTCAGAACATATTCATTTCTTGTGTGCAAGAGGTACCCAAGTTCTCTTTTCCAGAAACTTGCTCAGAGAACCTGCCCGGATAAGCTTGCTCAGAGAACTTGCGCAGAGAAAATTGCGCAAAGAAATTTGCGCAGAAAAACGGCTACTTCCGTGCAAGCAAAAAAGCGGCTAAACTTGCCTACAACAGAGTAAACTATGCTTTCTAGCTACCTGCATCCTAGTTGTTTCTGTTGTAGTAGGAGCATCACCTTTCCTTGTGTGGGTCTTTCCAGAGGCTTCTAGCACATCTACATGTTGACACATTTGTGCTTGTCATATTTTTCTCGGAATTGTACAGGAATTGATCTCTGTCCAAAACTAGATGAAACGGACATGACGGACTGCAAGCCTGCATATCTCTGCTCCTTAAGTCTGCCGCAAAAATAGTTTAAACACTACAGCCTGTCTGCTCAAACAAGCAAAACGGTGCACATACTGCACAACCATCAAAACTATATATAGAGCCTGCGCACTCAAATGAAGCAAACCATAGGCACCAGGGGGTAGGCTTTTCATAAATATGTATTAATGCAAGCGAAGGTGAGTATGTGTTTGTGTGTGTGTGTGTGCGTGGCTCTGTGTTTGTGTGTCTTTTTGTGTGTTGCTAAACACCGCCGCAAGGTATGGCGCTGCCTTCGGCATGGTGGCGACTCACGAGCCATCGCGTTATTCAAGATTTGGGCAAGTCATGGACGACATTGAGCGGTCATGCCGCTTCTACGAGCATGACGGGGCGACTGTGCGACTAGGAAGGTTTCAAGTGTACAAGAGGCTGGATCACTCGATCACTCAATCATTCTCCGTTTTTGTTTTGCCAAATTCAATTTTGGAAAAATGATATGGAACTTCCTACCCTGCGAGCCAGGCATGCGCCTGGCTTGTTCCACAGGAAGAAGGGAGGCATATCCGCCAGCTTATCCGCTGATGGATTTGCAGCAGAAGCAGCAGAAGCGCGGCTGGCGTTGCTTCAGAGGTTCCCAGTGCTGCTCCTTGGCTTAAACCGTTGTGTCGTTGTGTCGCTGAAAACCGTTGCCTTCTATTGTCTGGCAGGCTGCAACCAGCAGACACCAAGTTGGGTCTGAAGTTCAAACATGGCAAGACCAGAAGCGCTGCCTTCATTTTGTGACTGCTGAGAGCCGGCCGCCTTTTTTTTGGCGCATGTTGCGGAAATCAGGAAAAGGTGCATAGACTTCGTGCAATTGCCAAGTAATTTGCACTGGGTTCCCAGATGAGCACACTGCCAGGCGGAGATAGAGCGCCGCAGGCTGGAGGAGCAAGTCAAGGCGACAGTCCTTGAATATGGAAAGCATACTCCTGCGATAGAAGCCCACATGTCCAAGGGGCGTACATGAGTCTATACCATTCACAGTGGCGCATTCGCCGTGCTGAACAGGGCCTGCAAAGGGCACAAAGCGACTGGGAGAATGAGCAGCAGCGCCTGACAAAGCGGATCGAAGAGCTGCAGAAGGCGACGCAGAGAGAAGACGAGAGAGAGAGAGAGAGAGAGAGGGCAGCCGAACCGGGTGAGGTGCAGACAGACTGGCGCAAGGAGGACACTCATCCTGCAAGTTTTGAAGACATGGGAGTAATTACTTGAATTGTTTATGGCACAGGATGAGCAACGCATGCAGAAGGACAACAAATCCTTAGAGGCTGGAGATCAGGTTTACACAGCCTCTCCCTGCTTCGCTTTTTTGGAAGCCTGGGCGCAGGAAAGTCTTCGCGCAGAGAGAGCTCGAACCCGCAGTCTGGAGGCAGCTGCGCTAGTTGGATGAGGAGAGCCCTGGCTACGAAAAACCGAGGGCAAGCTCAAAGAGCTCGAGGAGCATTGCCACAGGCTCGAGGCCAGGGGAAGAAAGACTGACAGACAAATGCTGATGTGGGTGTGGGTCAATATTAGATCACCAGAGGACCGCAGATTTTAGTCCATGTTGCCATTTACCAGGGTTCCATTTTGGGCAGCTATTTTTGACCCACGGCCATGTGTTTGGAGTGTTTGACGTTTCCTTCGTGTCAGGCTGACCTCAAAAACCGCCAGGAAAGGGACTCGAGACTCGAAATTTGGCGATGGCCTCGGCTGGAGTTGGCTCAGGACTCTGCCAGGGAGGACATCAGCAAGAGCACCTCGGGCTGGACTCCAAGCATGCGGACAAATTACAACTTTAGACATATACCACAAATATCTTGCTTGTTTTTTTGGCAGGGCACAGGTTTCGATATTTTTTTGCACGTTCTGAGGTGGTGGCCACCGAACTCCGACTGTGCCACACACAGCTGCAACCTTAAATGCACGTCAACAGTGCGCACAGCGGGCGGGGTTGCCCTACGATCATTCACCTTTGCCTAAGGTGTCGGGCATGCTTTCCGGCAGCCTGCAGGCACGCACATCAGGGGAAGGAACCAAACCTTACGGGGACAAGCGACAGAAGTGCGGCATTTTTGCAGCGTTTTGCCTTTGGTTCCTATGAAGAGAGCATAGAACAGTGATGAAAGAGCGGGATTTGCAGGCCCCACCCGCAACTTGTGCGCCGATGGCTACGGCAAGCTCGATGACCTCTGTTGCCCAGGTAGGAGTCACAGACGGTCCTTTTGCACATCGCCAGAACACGCTGTTCATTCAGCAATGTGCCAACTGCCCACTGCAGCACCTAGCACCTCCACTGCGTGCCACCTGTGAGGTTTCTGCATCTCCTCTTTCAGCCCGGCGTTGCTGGCACCCTTGACTTACCGCTCAAGAGATGCACCATGATGCAACCTTTAGCAAGTTTAGCCTCGCACCAGTTTGATGTGAAGTATGCTTATGTCGTGCCAGGCAAATGCCGACTGGCATGGGTTCCAGACACGCGTGCCACTCTCAAGCTTCAGCTCATACTTTCTGCTGGTGGGTGCTTTGCCAGATCCCCGCGACATGGGACTTCCTGGATGCGCTGGACTCAGTCAGCTTGGACCGGCTCGTACATGTGCCTGATGTCATCAAACGCCTCATCCAGCCAGGGGAGCACGCTGTGCAGTGCTGAGGCCGCCGCTCAGCACTGCGCCCCCTGGATCGATCGATTCTCAGACACCAGTGCGGCAGCATTCACTTGCGTTTTGCATGTTTTGCTACTGAGGCCTCACTTGCGGCAGCGCGTGCCGAGTCAGCGTGATTTGACCTTGGACTCGTCACAGGCACTTGCACTTGACTCGTCGGGCTTTGCCTTCCACAATGTGGCACGCGAGGCGACCCCGGTCCTGGCTTTGGTGTCGAAGTTTGAGAAGAGAAGTCCTAGCCAGGGAGCGCCGACGAGGCATGCATGGTTTGGTCCAAGCAGCAAGGTTGTTACATGCATTTTGATGATTTTTGCGGTTTGTTCGGTATAGATCACGAATCAAGCTCCGTGCATAGTCGTGGTTGATGAGTTGGAGTGACAACCAGATTCTGGAGCCCGAATCATGGCTGTGGCAGGGACGCTTCAAGCCACATGCTCTACACTACCGCGCCATACTCAGATTTCCGAACGCGCCCTCCTATTCCTGCTGAAATGTACAACAAACACTCTGTTCAAAGTATTTGATTGCCAAGGCGCCAAGTTCTGTCTCAACGGCAGTTAGCTATACCACAACAGTGCGGCGTGGGATGGCCACTTCTCCAGCTGGATGCTGAGCGCTGTGCTGCTATTCAATTGTGTGAGACCTGAGAGTCTTTGCCATTGTTAGCATAGCGTTGTGTGACAGAGATGATGGAGACATCACAGTGCAGATTTTGAAGCAGGCTTCCTTATCGTGGGTGCCTCTTGAAGTGGACGTTACCAAATCCTCAGATGGGTCCTTGGCGTTGTCCAGTTAGTCAAAGGTGGAAGTTTGGCTTGCAGCTTTGCACAGAGACTGAACCTTGTAGAATGGGGCTTCACCTTTGTGTTGAACGTGAAGCAGAAAGGATAATGGCAGCTTCCCTTCTTCCTGCAGCCCTGCCAGCATAACGGTTTGGTCTGGTGTTTGCGTGCATTCTCGCCCTAAAATGAAGCTTTGCATGGGAAGACAGAATTCGCCTGGGAGTGTTCAGGTGAAGCAGATAGTCTTGACTGCTGTCTCATTGTCCTAGACATCATTTCGCTTGGGGCTCGAAGAAGTACCCATGGCTGGGTACCTGATATTAGTATCATGTGTATATAGAGATGCGTAATCGCAAGTGTATGCAACAACGAAATATGCATAAGCAAATCGATGCATTTGCAAATATTTGCATATATATATATATATATATATATATATGTAAATATATCTGTAAATATATATGTACATACATTCTGCATTTCAGGCACGTGTTGATGCCATGCCTCAGGGTCATGTCTCCCTCTAATCGAACGTTTGAAGCGACTGTCCCAGGCCATTTTGCATGTTGCTGAAATGGGCGTGGCTCAAACTTCAAGAGCCAGCAATCCGCAGGTGTTACGAGGGTCCAGAAATGACTTTCGCTTGCCCGGCTTTCAAGCGGCTGAGGGGAGTCTTCCGGTTTTGTTTCCACGTGCGCCTCAGGTACTGACCAGTGGCCAGGCCCCGGCATCGGCAACCATTCGTGCCGGATCCCGGGACGCGCCGTTGCATGCGGGAAGCTCAGCAGCTTTCCATGTGTCGAGATGACTGGATGTGCGCGTGTCACATCGCATCAATTCATTCATGCATTTATTCATCCATCCATGCATTCATTCATTCATTCATCCATGCATTCATCCATTCTTCCATACATGCATGCATAGGTACGTACACACACACACAGACACCCCAAGATTATATGGAGCCAATACTCAGTACTCCGGATACCTGGCAGGAAATGCCTCCTGTTGGGTTTCGGGTTCCATCTGAGGAAGTCCATCATGATGATTCTGCGGAGCTGCGTTTGCGCACAAGCAGATTCAGTAGCATCTTAATTTTTTTCATGAATTCCTGGCACAATACGCCTCTATGAAAGAAAACGTCACGTTGAAAGTATGTGCTGCCAGACCTCTAAAGCTTGTTTGGGAGTGTTTGGTTGCTCCACTCATATATATGTATATATATATATATATATGTATACAAAGACGGGGCAGTTTTTACTAGGCCACCAGTCCATGAACACGCAAGAGTTCTACAAGCACAACCTAGCTACATTGTTTTACATTAAGTGCATTTGCTCCCACTCACCAAATCGATTCCACAAAAACAAAGTAGCATTTCTGGCACTTGGCCTCAAGAAGTAGCGCTTCTGGCTCCAGTTTTGGTTCATTGGGAATGTCGCGCAACACTTTCCTTTTGTTGAGCAACATTCGTCAAACACAAACAGAACAAACACAAGACCAAGACAACACAAAAACAAGACAACAAGCAAACAACCAAAAACCAAACATCTGGCACGTTCCAGCAATGGGCGGGGGCAGGGTTTTGTTTTGTTAAGTTTTGTGGGTCCTGGTTCTGTTAACATTTGGGCATACCGTGCAACATGTTGCGCAACATTTGGCCGATATTGCAATAGTCCAAGACACCAAACGGGGTAGGATTGTGTTTTGCTTGTTTGTTTCTTTTGGGTCCAGTGGTTCACCACGGTTCTTGCGCTGCCGTCACCCAAGCGGTACTTGCAAAGAACAAAAGTTGCTCACGCACCCAAAACACATGTCTTTGGCCAGCATTTGTGCAAACATGCCCGGCTTTGCTTCAATATGTACACTGCAGGATGTGCAGGCTAGATTTGGACTGGGCCTATTTTCGAGCTGGCCCTGCGAACGTGGGCGCATGTTGGGTTACGTCAGGCCAGCTTGATCCTTCATACGAAGCAAGCCCACCCTCCCCTCCCCTCCCCTCCCCTCCCCTCCCCCCTCCCCTCCCCCCTCCCCTCCCTCCCCTCCCCTCCCTCCCCTCCCTCCCTCCCTCCCCCTCCCCTCCCCTCCCTCCCCTCCCCTCCCCCCTCCCCTCCCCCCTCCCCTCCCTCCCCTCCCCTCCCTCCCTCCCCTCCCTCCCCCTCCCCTCCCCTCCTCCCCCTCCCCTCCCCCCTCCCTCCTCCCTCCCCTCCCCGTCGCTTGTGTACTTATCTTGTATCATGACAGGATTTCCTAAAAGGAAGAATGCCCCAAGTGAAATTGTGTTCGATTATTTGGATTACATTAAAATATTTATGGTGATGTTAGAACATCTCACTATTTATCTTTCAGAAAGTCAGATAAGATGAGTGCATTTGTTATAGTGTTTTTATTCATATATTGCTGTTATTCAATCAGTTTAATTCCAACATAAGAACATAGTTTAACATATTTGCAAAAAACCAATATAATCTATCGGATAGAACCCTCCCCTCGCCTCCCCGCGTTGGCCCGACATGTTGCACATGATGCCCAACATTCCAAGCGCATGCGACAACACGAAAAGAGAGCCCCCCTGCAAGGGTGCAAGTCGATGAAGCGCAGCAGGCGCTTCACAAAAGGCAAAGCACCTACGATTTCCACGCGCACCACACTGTTTCTTGCAAGTGCGGCTAACCCCCGTTGACGCAACATGTTGCGCAAAATGCGAGAACCAAGCTGAGAGCCTCGTGTTCGATGGGAGGTGCCCAGTTTGACGCTCATTTTTCAGGGGAACAATGACATAGAGGCTGCCCAGTTTGACTTTTGTAGTGAACGCTGACCTGACAAATGCTGAGCACTGCGGCATGTTACTGTATCTCTTGCCAAGGAGCAGCTCCCTGTTGTTTAAACTACTTTCCCGTCATTGGCTCGGCTCAGTTCGTGCTTTGTTAAACGAGATGGATTAAAATAAGCAACTTTTGGAAGTGACGTTGACTTCAAGTTCAGCTAGCAAATTCAGTTGTTTTTTTCGCAACCTGCATAAGGACATTCAAATCGCTCAAAGGTACATTTGGTTGGAACTTTTCATATTTGAGTTTCAATAGATGTTATTGACGAGCTTAAAAGCGAGCGCGATGAACAACACATATATTATATATTGGATGGGAATTGCCTTCCACGTTAGTTTTATAGAGTTGAGCTGGAATGTAAATGGGCTCATACAAATAGAATTGAATTCGAAAGTAAATGAAACTGCGCAAGGACATGTAGCACCTCTATAATTGGTTTGAATTTCAATTTCAATTAGACATTTAGACCTGAATAATTCCTTTCTCCCCAGAAGGTTTCTACTGATTTTCCCTGCAAAGCAACAAGAGAAAGCAAATGATACAAAAGCCGTTGCAGACATGTTTTGATTCTGCCAAAGTATTGCTCTTGTATTGAATAGTTGTGCTGTTTTCAGCCGGAGCTGCCAATTGCTTATGAGATTGAAGCTTCAAGATGCTGGACAAAGCTGCCCGGCGAATCTTGAATCTTGAATCCTATTTACCTCAAAGTGGCTATAAAGTCACGTTCTGCAAGATTCAAGATTCTGAACTACCTTTTGGCAATCTTGATTCTCAAAACGCTAAACAATGCGATTTTGGCAGGTTTTGGGAGGGGTGCACATATACGCACCGTGTTTTTGTGTAATGTGAGTGAACGTGCAAACAGCGTGCGCACGCACCCTTGGGCAATTAGCACTTTCTGACAAAGTTCACGTGCAATACACAATGTGCAAGCATGCACTTGCGCGAAACACATGGACCGAGAAAGCAGATGGAGAGTGTGCATGAAATATTGTACTGTCACACGCGCTGCATGTGTGCATGATCCCCTGATCTGGCAAACCTGAGGTTGCCAGGCCGCGAACCGTGACTCGAAGCGGATTTCAGGCACAGAATGGCTCGTGGAAACTGAGCCAAGCTTGAAGTGTGCAGGACGACCCTGAGCGTGGCCGGCATGTTGCTTTCGGAGATTTGAATCACATGCAAGCAACCTGTCACAAGGTGCAGTGTGGACTTGTCAGCCAGGACACCCAGCGCTACTTACGTGACACACGCGGAGGCTGGCAGCTTCCTGGGATGAAATGCAATTACGGCCAGCACAAGCGTGCAGGACACATCCAGAAACTTTGGCATGTCCCCGATCAAGCGCCGAGCGCTTAGTGTTACTTTGCAGCGCTTAGTGACTTGTACATTGACCAAGGCCAGCCCTGCCCCATGACACGAGGTCGGACGCAAGAGCTTGGATTGATGTTATTCCTGCGCCTCTAACCTCAGGAGGAACTGGACATCCCATGACCTTCTCGCCTCCAGCTCGAACAGTCAGCGTGCAGGAGGGTGATGCTGGCGGATGGTAAGCTGTGGGTCAATGTGCATCGCAAGAGTGGTCAAGGCGAGCAGTGTCCTGTCCAGGAGAAGATCAAGCAGTGGAGTGCACCAAGATATCGCTGAAACGCACAGAATACGTAATACAGCAAGGCAAGTACTCCTTTAGCAAAACGCATCCTTCGCTGGCTCTGCACAGTATTGGCAGTTCTCCTGCCTAATTGTAAGCTCTGTTGACAGCTTTTGGACTATGAGCGAAATCCAGACTCGGACTGTTCTGCTTCTCATAGCCTTGACGTTACACTGCGTTGCACAATTCGGCTTTGCCGGAGGCAAATAATTTAATGCAGGCTGTGATGCACGAGCTTTACATAGAAAGCTGGCGAGAAAGCGCCGGTGGCAGGCAGTGTGAGCACTATGCGTTGTTTCATTCCTGGCCTCGAGCGCAACCGTATCTAATTCGTTCATTTGTAGTGGTTATGTGATTTGCCCAGTCGGTGAGAACATGCGTGCACGCATTTTGGTACGTCGAAGCTGTGGCTGGTCATAATTGGCAACATGCAGGAGTTCATCCATGTAGTTTGATAGTCAAGCCCTCGTGCTGTGATGGCTCCAGAAGACGTGGACGGTTACATTGCCACGACTGCAATTTCATCAGGCTGCCTTGAAGCACAACAAATGCATTAATGATCCTTGTAATCTTTGCACCAGCCAAGTGCTGCCTTAGTGTGTTGTTTGCGCTTGGACTGTAGCATGCTCTGGGTCCAAAATGGGCAGTTGCCTGCTTGGGCTCCTAGATTGCTTCCTCGTTCGAGGATACAGCATGCCCAGCTGAGAGTGGGTTCGCAAGCCCGAAGCACAGGATGCGCAGGTTACACTCGACATACTGCTAGCTTCATTGGAGCCAGCGCGGCTCTGCTTTCGGCTTCCCGCCGCCTTTCAACTTTGTCGAGAGCTGACGATCGCGATGAGAGGATGGGAAGCACAGTGACTCCAGGTGTCATCACAAGTCCTGATGCCCCAGTTGTAGGCGTGTACAAGACCATCCGATCTGGAGAGCGGCCCTCTGTGGACTTTGTGCAGGTCAGTAGCTTGGGCACGACTGGCCCAGAGATTGGCTCCCAAGTTTGGATTCGTGCTCGAGTTGCTGCAGTTCGAGTCAAAGGCAAATCTACGTTTGTGGTCCTGCGGCAGAACAGCTTGCACACTGTGCAAGCCTGCAAGTTTAAAGAGAAGGAAGATGGAGGTGAAAGTGCAACTGCTATTGCTCGCTTCTTCAAAGCCCTCCCTTTGGACCGCTGTTTGCTTTCAGTGATGGTAATTTGTTTGGACATTCTTTTGCTACGCTAAGTATTTGGTGCGTAATGCCGTGAGGAGAGCATTGTTGACATGTCTGGAGT